CAAATGTTATTATAATGCTATCTTGATTTTATTTCCAGGATTTCCCTTTTGGTTTCCTGTCCTAATGTGTATCTGGGCGAGAATCGGTATTTAACACGGTGTTAATCCATTTATTTCTCAATTTCCTCCTTCCCTTTATTGTCCTTAAAGGTCACTGGAGGGAGAGGCAGATGCCACCAGCAGTTCTGCCCATTATCTTATCTTGGAAGGCCTCACAATTGTGTGTGTGTGTGGGGGGGGGGGAAATCACTTGTTGGAATGATGCAAACCTTTGATTGGAGGCAACTTCTTGATTTAAGTTTGGATTGCCTTAGATGGGGAAGGTAAAAATACCTTTTCAAATCCTTCTTGGGCAGCAACAGAAAAAATATTTCTGCAGTGACTCAGGGAGGCAAAGAAGAAATAATGGGTTGTAAATTCTCCTTTGTTCTCCTCTTCCTCCTCCTCTGAATTGTTTGTGAAAAGATGTGCTAAAAGAAAACTTTTAGCCCAGGGAATCCCTGTGGATCTTTCTCCTATTATGCTTGGAAGAAATCTTGAGTTTTGCAGTCTTTTGTCATTCCTCAAACGCTTGCAAAGACAGGTACATTCCAGAAATCTTGGGCCCATCTAGCCAGAACAGACTTCATTTATAGATTTGCTAATTTTGTAAACCAAATAGTTGTGTCCGTTAAGAAAACAATGGTTTATTGTGTGAAGCACATTTTATTAGGTTCAGAAGCTGTGCCAAACCCGGGCTTTAGAAGTACCTGGGTTGGTTTGATCAATTTTTACTTTGCTGCAAAAAATATAATCTTTTCATCCCAACAAAATATATCAAGATATCCTCTGATATTCCAGGATCTGTTTAATCCTCATACTGTATTCCTCTCTACCACCTTCCATAAGAAAACTCTGCTTTTCAGTGAACACAACATAACGTTTTTAAGCCTATTTTCTGCAGAGGCAGTAGAATTAAGTGATAGCAATTGAATGCTTCAAGGAGATTCCTGGTTGTGTTGTGTTATCTAAAGGGTGTGAATTCTTTTGTGGCTCCTATCCTCTCTTCCCTCTTAGGAGGTGTCAATCCAGGGCCATTGACAGAAGCGGCCAAATCATAGAATTGTGGAGTTAGATGGGACTGCAGAGGCCCTATAATCCAGCCTTCTTTAATATGCGGAAGGACCAGTTAAACCATCTTTGATAAGTCTAGCTTCTTCTTTAATACTTTCTGAAGTTTAAACTAATCCCTTTGTTTGTTTGTTTTAAAAAAGGTTTGATATCTTTTGTTTCGCAGGTCAGGTCATTCTGATAAAATTAATGCATTTGCCTGGTATTGGCTTAATACGTTGTGCAAACACAGCCTGAGCCATACCTTTGCAAAGCAATAGAGAAAAATCCCAATTGGGTTTATTTAAATATCAACCTAACATGGATTAGTAGTGTCTTCTTCCTCTTCTTCTTCTTCTTCTTCTTCTTCTTCTTCTTCTTCTTCTTCTTCTTCTTCTTCTTCTTCTTCTTCTTCTTCTTCTCCTCCTCCTCCTCCTCCTCCTCCTCCTCCTCCTCCTCCTCCTCCTCCTCCTAGTTTTTGACGAAAATTGCCTTGAGCTGCTCAGATAGTTTCTCTGTCAGATATACTCCCTCAACACTGTCAACCTATTTACTAAGTCTGCATTACTATTAATCCTCCCATCCTTCCTTTCCCCAATCTCGTCCCACTTATGACTGTACGGCTGTAACTTGTTTCTTGTATCCTAATGATTTTTATTGACTGTTTCCTAGTATGATTTGATTGCTTATTGTACTCTATGACTATGACTATGAAGTGTTGTACCTGATGATACTTGATGAATGTATCTTTTCCTTTATGTACACTGAAAGCATATGCACCAAGACAAAGTGTCCAATCACACTTGGCCAATAAAGAATTATAAAGTTCTAAAGTTTTATAAGTGGGTTTTGTGTACAGAAAAAAAAACCTCTGAGAACAGAAGCAAAGTGGAAGAGCTGAAAATTGTAGACATTATTTTAAAAGAAGACTCTTTCATCACACTCATAGGCATTCAGAACCACCAACAAAAGCAAGTTGTTTAAAAATATTGGATCCCTTGCAGAAGTGCT